TACGTCAGCTGCTACATCCCTATGGATTGTTATCTGTTTGTGTAGCCTAGATCAACATAAGGGTTTTTTCATTTGGAGGATTTTAGAATTTTTCAAATTCACAATCTCATAAAAACTTAATTATTTGAAGAAAACAGAGGTTCAAACTTCCTTACATTTTCCTGTGTTCAGATGAGACAGTACTTCACTGCACAAAACTCCTTTGTTGTATTGTTGTTCTTCACTCCCCTTTTGGTGTATTGCCACCAAATTCAACTTGTAGAATACAGGAGCTCCTGAGGAACCAGTCTCTGTGTCGGCTTTGTAAAGCACAAATGGAGGCATAACTGTCATAATCTTGTCATGACTGAACTCTTGTGGCCTTCCTTTAGGATGCTGTAGTATGAAGACTTCATCTCCTCCACTGATTTTAGGTTCTGGTTTGAATTGGATGGGGTTAACACCAGGGTGGAGAGCTTCAATGTTTTCTTTTTGAACCCCAATAAAGGAGTAATCCAAATCCTTTGCAATCAATGAAAAATATTTTAGAATTTGTTTTAAGGGTTAGGAAATGTTTACTTGCTAAAGTAAAGCCCCAGGAGGAGGGAGATAGAAACAGCCTAGTTATATTAACTATATGCTTTGATTTTGAAACCACAATTTACTATGAAGGTGGCTCCATAACAACTGAGAAGGTATATGGTATCTGACCACAACAAGTGACTTGTGAGGTAGATCTCAATCAAACGAACCTTATTTGTCTTGAATATCAAATCTGGTCTCAAACTGACTGTTTTAACCTGCTCATTTACATATGATGATTTATCATAATCAAAGATGACCTCTGCCTGCTGTGCCTCAATCTCGTTTGATAAAACATGGTTATTGGTGAATATACCAAGGTACTCAATCTGGTTAATCAGCACCGTACTGTAGAATCCACTGCCACGCCTTAAATAGAAACAAAAAGTGGGTTTTGAAAAAATGGGAAAGTACATGTACTGTATCAACTGACTTTGAGCACCATGCAACTTGTGTGTGCAGCTAACTGGACGCAGCGTTTTTGAGGAGTAGAATATCATACATAGCAACTTTTCCTGCATTGAAGACACCCTATCCTATCCTGAGCTGCCCTATCCTTTAATGTCCCACCATAGCCCTTCTTTCACTGCCTCTTTCCCTGTCGTGGTCTCTTAGTTCAAGGACAAAAAATATAGAATAAATAGCTAGAGATTGAAGTGATCTTATTTTAGCTCATCAACATAAATATATTCAATTTTAACGTCTTATCAAATTACTATATCAAACTATTTTAAAACAACCTAGAATTGAAATAAATTAGAGTCAAACTGAATATTTTCCATGTTACCTCAGCCGATCTGTGTTCGTCATGGGGTCTTTGACAATGACTTGGATGTAGCACACAGCTTTAGATCGTTCTATCAATGTATTCATAGACAGCAGACCATCTCCGTCACTTATGAGGACCTCTGGAGATTCTCTTGGGTCCATTGAAGGGTAGAAGGTTTTGTTGGAGCCTTTTCTAAAGTCAAATCCTCCTAACTTTTTATCACGAAGGCAGCCATTTTGTTTTTATTCTCCAGATCTCCCTCGCGTAAACTGGGTAGAGCCCAGCCTTCTTTGATAATGCGAGGACACAGGAAACCCAAGCAAGACTTGATTGAGAGGTATTAGGTATTATTATGAGAATATGAACTAAGAGAAGGAATCCTACCTATGTAGCATTGTAAGCATCATGTGCAAAGTTTGATGCTATTTTGAGCTTGGAGATATTTTGAGTGAAGAACCTGATTGGTTGATTTCTTGAGGGTAGGCGGCTTCCAGTCTTGCAGTAAACAAAAGCCTATGTTTTTGTCGTGGACGTAGCGAAATTTTTCGCTTACTAAAACGAGGCATTAAAGGGAAGCATGATTTTCGCGTGGGTATGGTAACGAGTTAGAAATAGCATCAATGATTCTAAAAATAGCATCAAAGTGTGCACATGATGGGGCACGGGGATTCCTTTTAGTTCATTTTCTCTTGGTGGTACTTCATGTATTGGTACAAACACATTAAAATAATGTCCCATATACGACGTTCCTAACAAAGACGTTTCTTTAATGCAATTTTGAACATTTTATTCCGGAGATCCTCGGTATCGTGCTAAATATCTCGAATATTTTTATATTTGCAAATATTTG